ATATGTTTGTTATATAGAGATCACATTCTACAACGGGAGTGATATGTTTGCTACAGAAGTCACACTCTACAACGTGAGGGATATATGTTTGTCATATAGGTCACACTCTACAACTGGAGGGATCTGTCTGTTATAAGACATGTTGAGGCAAAGAAGTGTGCGTTATATGGTCTGTATTTGATAACGAGGGGGGGGGGGGTGTGGCAAGTAAAGTGTCGGGGAAATCGTCTTTGCGTTACAATCGATATTCCTTTTTATATACTATATATTATATGTAGATTTTCTCGCTGATTTAGCAGTGGTAGATTTCAGGCCAGGGAGATATATTCAGATCAACCATTTACAGTTTCGATGCCTGAAATCATAATGTTCCTGTTTTTCATTCTTTTTGTCGTCTATCTTAATTCGTTAATTGCTTAATAACAAAATCTCACCATCGTTGAACTTTCTCAAATTGCTTTGATCTATCAAATCAATCGTGTCCCGTCCGTGTTATAAGCTCTGTCATTATTTCGTGCTCGCACATGCGCTATACATACAAACTCACCACTGAAAACGGTCACAAATGAAAATACAACACCGCCCCTTAGAAGACATTAAGTGTGACACAGGTTATATCAGTCACATCACATACATAAAACGTGAAACACATTTATATACTTCAACCGAAAATAATATTGCAAACTCTATATTATGATATAATCGCCCATTGTTCTACTCAACATTGTCTTTATAAATGGAGCAATGCTAACAGTGTGCTCCATCCATCTCCCTCCAAACTCTGACTTTACGAACAAACAACTAGACGAACTCCTATCGCAACTGCCTTCCCTTTCATACTTTTGGGTGATTTTAATGGTCATAACTACCTTTGGGGTTCACCCGACACTAATGACAGAGGAACAAAAATTGAAAAAAATTATATTGGAAAATAGCCTTTGCCTTTACAATAATACATCTCCAACTTATTGGCATCCCTCTTCCGGAACATTCTCGACCTTTATTTAACTTTATGTCACCGATCTTTGTTACTCGATTTCGAATGGACAGTGCATAACGATCTCTGTTGAAGCGACCACTTTCCAATATTTCTAAGGAATTGTGGATCCACTGAGAGCGATCATGTACCCCATTGGAAATTAAATAAAGCAGATTGGAGTAAATTTGAACATCTCAGTACCAAAATTCTCAACACCATTGATTTCCTGAATTTAGAAGACCCGATAGAATCCTTTACTACCGAACTTCTTGCGATAGCCGAAGAATGTATACCAAAGTCCAAAAGAAAACGCAGTAAAAATAACCTTGGATTAATGAAGATTGTGATAAAACTATTCGAAATAGGAAAACTGCTTTGAGGCAATTACAAAACAACACCACAAACGATAGCTTAAACAACTACAAAATTATTCGGGCAAAAGCCCGTCATGCTATACGCTTACACAAAAAATTGTCGTGGAGATCTTATGTGTCCAAATTAAATTCCAATACATCCACCAAAAATGTATGGGATATGATTAAACGAATCAGTGGTAAAACATCATTCAAAACAATGGGACATCTGAAAACTAATGGCTTTGGTATCGTCTGGAAATAAGCATTAAAAAAAATCAAAAATTTAAGACCATGCGTGAAAAAACTAAATTGAAATTCTCTTCCGAAAACAATGAAACTTACAAACAACCTTTCTCGATGTTAGAACCGTTGAAAAAATCACATGGCTCCGCAACAAGACCTGATGATATTCACTATCAGTTCCTAAAACGTCTACCAGAGTTATCATTAAGAAAACTTCTAGATATTTTTAACTATATTTTAAGATCGGGGAATATCCCAAAGTCATGGAAAATGGCAACTGTGATTCATATCCTCAAACAGGGTAAAGATACAACAGATCCCTCCAGTTACCGCCCAATATCACTCACGAGTTGCGCTTGTTAAATTATAGAGTGGATGATATATTCAAGATTAATATGGTATCTGGAATCCAATCGCGTAATATCACCCCTACAAAGCGATTAAGATCTAAGCGAGGTACCAACGATCATTTGGTTAGACTTGAAACCTTTATGCGTGAGGCTTTTCTAAAGAAGGAGAACTTGGTTGCTGTTTTCTTCGATTTGGAAAAGGCTTACGACACAATGTGGAAATACAACATGATGAAAGATCTGCATGATATAGGTATTAAAGGTAATCTACCAATTTTTATTTCAAATTTTCTATCAGATAGAGTGTTTCAAGTCCGGAATGGAACGACTCTTTCCGATGTTCATCAGCAGGAAATGGGTGTACCACAAAGTAGCATTCTTTCGGTTACACTTTTTGGTCTTAAAATTAACAGTATTGTCAAAACATCATCCCCTTCAATGGAGGGCGCTCTTTATGTGGATGACTTCATCATATACTATCGACCTAAGCATATAAATACCATCGAAAGAAAACTACAACAATGTTTGAATCAAATTTGGGCAGATGAATATGGTTTTAAATTTTCACAAGCAAAAACAGTTTGTATGCATTTTTGTCAAATTCGGAAACAACACGACGATCCAAATCTGTCTCTCCGTGGTGCACCAATTCCGGTTGTTGAGCAAACGAAATTCTTAGGTGTAATATTCGACAGGAAATTGTCGTTCCTTCCACACATAAAATACCTTAAAGCCAGGTGCCTTAAGGCACTGAATATTCTAAAGGTTGTGTCCCACACTGATTGGGGAGCCGATAGAAAAGTTTTGCTAAGACTCTATAGAGCCCTTATTAAGTCAAAATTGGACTACGGTTCCGTCGTGTATGGATCTGCTAGACCTTCATATTTAGAATTATTAGACACTGTTCATTACCAAGGGGTCAGGCTCACTCTCGGAGCTTTTAAGACCACGCCTACAGCAAGCCTCTATGTAGAGGCTAACGAACCATCACTATATAGCCATCGAAATAAATTGGCTTTGCAATACATCATTCAGCTTAGGTCAACTATTTCAAATCCTGTTTTTCCTGTATTTGATCCAAAATATAAAACCTTGTTTCAAGGCAAACCAAAAACCATTCCAGCATTTGGTATTCGAATTTCCACTCTTTTACAAAACACAAATATTGATGTTAACCAAATTCAGTCATTTGGAACGATAGAAATTCCACTCTGGCTCATGAATTCACCTGAAGTTGACTTTTCACTTCATGAAATGGTTAAATCAGACACAGACAGTGCTAATTGTGAATAAGTGAAATTGCAGTTAAAATATGAAACATTTCTACATTTATATACTGATGGTTCAAAACATAATGATAAGGTTGCTGCGGCCATTGTTACACAAGATGAAACCTATGGATGCCGGCTACCGAACAATGCCTAAATATTCTCGGCAGAAGCGCAAGCTATCTACCTCGCCCTTGAATATATTCAAAGAAACAAGAGCTTTTATCCATTCAGACTCTCTTTCTGTTCTACAAAGTTCTGGCACTAAAAATATTGAAAATATTTTCATTCGTAGTACCTTAATACTATATCATGAACTTGCTTTTAACTTTCGTATTGCTTTTTGCTGGGTTCCTGGTCACGTGGGAATACCAGGCAATGAAAAAGCAGATCGTGCCGCAAAGGAAGCTTTATCGCTACCACCTGTTGTTTTTAAACTTCATTTTACCGATTTAAAACCATTTCTCAAACAAATTTTAAAAGCTCATTGGCAGGAGGTTGGAATATCTATACCAATAACAAATTGCACTCCTGTTAAACCTGTTATCAGTGAATGGTCTCCATGCTATAGAGACAACCACCGAGACGAAGTTGTCCTTGCCTGTCTTCGGATGGGTCATACATACCTTACACATTCATATATGTTGAAAGGCGAAGATAATCCTTGGTGCATAGGATGTGATGAGCCATTCGCCGTTAATTTTTTTATTGGAATGCAGTGACCTTCTGTCTACTCGAGAACGTTTTTATCGTAACATTACATGTCTAAAATCCTTTTTGAAACTGTTGAGATTTGTAAAATTCCACATTACCTGAAAGATGTTGGTCTTTACAATAGACTATGACGTACCCATTTTAATCTTTTGTGTTAACATACCCATTTAAGATTTTTAACATTTGTCTTTTACCTTTTGGTTTGTTTAATGTTATTTCCTTTTGGATCGCTGTGTGTTTTAACGTTTGATGGCCCTAATGACATTTCATGTGTTGACAGGCCGTTAAGAATGTAATACTACTAATAATAATAATTTTCACAGCAACCATTGACGTACGAATATTATGTATTTCTATATTATACTTCCTTGAAGAAAAAAAATCAAATGAACACATGAAATTATCAAAGTATTTCACGTCGTTATTTGAAAAAAAGTCTTGCCTAGGAGCAAATGACAGACATTCTTGTTATATAGTTACAAAATTATTAGCTGAAATTTTCGTTCTATCCTCCCTTGAAACGATATGTTATGATGAACTTATTTCTGATACAAAAAGACGCAATGTTCGTTATTTCGCCTCATGTGACAAGAAAACGAAGATTATCGGTATTTCGCGTCGCGGAATAATATTGTCAGTATGGTGAGCCTCAGGGTGGCCATCAAATATTAAAGCGAAGAAACTGTAGATGAGGAGGTGAAATATTTTCTTTCCGTTCTGTTCGAGAAGTCGATTTTCAGAGGGGAAAATACATTATCCCCATGGACGACGAATTTAATACATTAAGCTAAAAATCAGCACTACTAAGCAAAACCACTATTTGCAAAACGATATATTAGTACCTAAAGCGCAAATGTATTATTTCTCATCACATTTGTTTCATATTGGCATACATATAACAAGTAAAAACTGAATTGTCCATTTCATTTTATTACATTTACTTCTCACAGAGCGTTTCAGCCGCTTCTCTTGTCTTATCGATCACGTCTTTAGTTATCCCTTTCACTTGTAAATGCGAAACTAAAACCAAACAAGCTAGCTTTACCAATATGGCAGCGCCCATATAAAATTGTAAATATATATGTTAGAGCTAGGCCAGTTTAAAACACATATGAATAATGGACGAAAGCAGCATTGAAACTTCTTTGGAACTTTATAAAAGCCAAGTAAGATTTATTTTTTCCCTATTATAGCGTTGGTAATGAATATAAAAGACACATTTGTACGGTACTGTAAGATGTGTACTGAAGTACAGACGTTCCCCCAAACCCATTTCGCCCCAACTTTTATTCATTACACCCTATGTTAAAACCGATTTCGTCCCATATCGGCCCAAAAATGTTCACATTGCCCCAAACCATTTCGCCCCAAAATATCGGTAAAGAAACCATAACATGTAATTCCTTCAATGATGTACATCTGTACGTTCGTGTAATTCCATGGTGATATGTCCAGTTCGTTTCAATAGTTATATCAATGAATATTATCACAAACTTCGAAAAAATACAATAAAGTATTAGGACAATTGATGGAACAAACGACACAGGGGGGCTAACTCTTCTTTATTTGTTGCTAGAGTTCGATTTTCCTCAAGACTCGATGTGGTATTTGGATTTTATTAAATTTTGGAAAATTCATTTTTGATTTCTTATTTGTTTAACTGTGAATAATAAATATATAAATGATATTGAATGGAATAGTTTGATCGGGTTTCATCAGAACAGGCTTAACAATTATGTTCTTTTATTTTGTTTTTCTTTTTGGATGTTTTTTTCCCACTTATATACACACACTATACATTGCACAAGGACATTGGGAATGTTCTCTACAGTCTGTATGTTTAGGGTATGTTCCATCTACACAACAAGGCTGTTGATCTTTGCAATGGCTTTCAACAAGCTTAAGTCTATAACAGTGATATCAGCTTAATACTTGTGCCAAAGCCGACAAATGTTCACCTGAAATTCCCTAGTTGAGTGGCGCTGGAGGTGGGACAAGGTTCCCTCAGCTACCATCTGCCTCTATAGAGGTAGCTTGGCTGCCTCCTGAAGGAGAAGGGGGACAAATACCTAGAAAGGAGGTGTTAAATCACAGGCTTCATGTCTCAGGCTCCTGTGCCATCCTTCACAATCGTTGCTAGTTCATGTCTCAGGCTCCTGTGCCATCCTTCACAATCGTTGTTAGTTCAGGTCAGTATGCCAAAGACATTAAATGATCATATAGAGAAGCTGTGGACCAATATACAGTTTCTCGAAAAAATATATAAAAAGACTTATGTAAAAATACATATTTGTAGAACAGAATTTTACGTTAATTTATGCAAGAAGACTTTATACTCCTGTGCTCATTCATCAAAATGTAATTTAGACATTTTCAGCCTTGTGCAAATTCGCAAATGCAACAGATTTTGTTATTTTTAATCTACATATTCCATGAGCTTGACTAGTTTCTGATCTCTGATTGTCACTGCAGAAAATGCCCTCAAAACATGGTTCCACCTCATCTTGTGGAACAAGGGGCAGTAGAAGATTCGTGGCTTGTTAGTTTATCGTGCTTACAATAGATTTTGGATCTCAAAAGATGTTATGAATACATACACACAAACTTTTGCAGTGCAGTATTATATGGCAAGTAAACTTAACATACAACAACACCACTTAAACTTTATTTATTGATTTAGAACTGAAAAATATACATATACATGTATATGTCAGCGCTTCCTTAGTTGTTATTTAAGTTATTCCCCTTTAACCATCATAAGTTTTAGAACAGTTCAACACTCTTTAGGGCAATATGTGTTTTTGGGCGATATGGTTGGGCGCTATGAAACAAATTTGAGATAATACAGCTGGGGTCGAAATAGATCATGCGTGTCAAATTTTCTCATTGTGTTGAACCTCAAACATTGTGGGAGTACTGTATATGATGCACTATCATGATTTTATGAGAGGAACACAATCATGACCACGCATGGTCAATACTAATCCCTTTTGGCATACTTCCGTGGGACTCATTTATTTCATTTAGAAACAAGGTGAAAACACCCAAAAAAAAGTTAGATAGCTGAACACTGCAGCCAAAGCAGAACAAATTAAAGTCAGTGATATAAATTGTCATTTAGAAACAAGGTGAAGTTAGATAAAGGAAATAGATATTTATCAGGCAAATATATGCAGTGTCTCATTGGCTACTGGGCCATGTTAAAGAGTACTCTAACAATGTTAGCGACTCAACCCAACACTAAACTTTTGACAGGTGCTAAATATATACGTAACATTTGCCAATGCAATCAGGTGGACTTTGACCTCTTGAAATAATGTTGCCCTTTTTTGTTGCAAATGTTGGAAAGAACTTTATGTGATCTCAAGGAAAATCATTCCCCATCTGAGTAACTGTAACAGAGGTCATTATTTATTTCAATGCCTTGGCTAAGAATTGAACACGGAACCCATGACTTACTGACGCTCAACCAATCAAGCTGAAGAGAAGTTCTCTCTAGCCATGCGACATATTGTGACTAGTATTTATTAGGGTTACAGTAACAAAAATTATCATTCCAAGCAGTGATTGTTACTAAATCACAGGTTTACCAGATATTACCCATATTTGGAGAGATGCCCAACCTATTAATATTAGGAATGGATGTATTCTTAGCTTCATTAAAGTTCAATTGTATTTGAAATATATACATTTTTTGTACATGCAGAATGTGGTAATATTATATTATAACAGTATTCTTTCCTCTTTGTAGCTTTCCCAAGTAAACCAGGCACTGCAAGCGTCAGGACAGAATGATGATTTAGTGAAGTTGCAGGCCGACCTTCTGGAACTCATTCATCTGACGGAAGGTTCTTTTCTTATGGTCTTATACACATGTATAATAAAAAAAGTTTACTGTATAATTCATCACATATTCATTTAATGCTTCAGTTTGGGAGCGTCTTCTTTGCAGATTTGAAATTTAGTTCCCAGCTGCAGTTTTTACCTGTATGTGAATGTGTCTATGTTGACAGAATATGTCAGAGTTTACATGTGTCTCAGTGTTTTTCCTGCCTGAATAACTGGGTGCCATAATCAACCCCATTCCAAATACATTTAAGCCTTATATTTCCCAAAACAAACTTTACAATTCCCCATATCTGATGATTTCTAAGAAGTGTGGAAACATGCCTTTAAAAAAAAGAAGAAAAATTATATTATAGTTTTAAATTATAAATTATATTAGCAAATTTTGCACAAAATCAAAAGTGGAGTGAAGTGTTAAAACAGGTGTAATGTGTAAAGCTGGAATTTACACTGCATTGTAACATTGATAAGGATGCTAGTCAATAAAGAATTATTGTCATGTAATAATAAAATATCTCATTATTTCTAAATATATTAAGCTATATGAAGGACGCTTCTCATTAAATAATTATTGTCGTGTAATGAAAAAACTGTATCATTATCCCTAACTATATTAAGCTATATTAAGTTATCAGTTTTGATTGGTTAGCTTAAAAATAGTTTTGATTGGGCATAGGAAACAGACATTGGTCAGATGTGAAGATTAATGTTCATAAAACAGCAACAATTATAAACAGATGAGCTTGATCATTGTACTTAATAAGCATGTCATGTTTATATTGTTTCTCTAATCTTTACGTAGCATCGCTGCTGTCATTGAAGAAAAGCAACTTATTGAAGTCATTGGAACAAGATGATCATGTGACCGAGGAAACAACTCAACACAACTCAGATGATCTAGATTCTGAATATGCTGCTTTCCAGGTAGGATATTTTGAGGCTACACTCTTAACTGATTGTACTGCATTAATGATCTGATACCCAGTATCTATGTTACGGTACATCTTTATAAAAATCAAAGATTTACATTCTGAACAAAACTAGGTAAATTGTTAGATGCATACAAAGTTTCTTTATCATTATAGATCTTATAGTAGATATGTAGATACATGTATCATTTGTATGTCGTTGGTAACTATGGTAACAATGTACCATCGTCATGGCCGATCTTCAGTAGATACATAGGTATCTATATAGATCATGGTAGATTTTTGTGTAATTACATGGATACACTCTATATATGTAGCATGGAGAATCCTTTATAAATACACATACATATCTATGTCAAGGTAAACCTTTTGTAATATACACACACATCAGTATGAAGGTAAATCTTGTGTAAATCTGCAGAAGTAGAACTGAGATATCAATATTAAATATTGAATATTATGATTGTGGTTTCCTAATTACCAATGGATCAAACCACATCAACTGTTTCATCGCGGTAACCAGTAATCAATTAATCTTTCTGTAGAAAAACTTTCTTTTTTTTTTTTTTGAATCTGACCCCAATAAAGTACCTGCGCACAATACCCAAATGCACACTATACCTGCAAATTTATGGTATTGTGCTCTGTTACTTTACAGGCCATGCTATCTGATGATGTGACCAGTCCAAATGAAACCCTCACACAGGCAGCATCAGATTCACCAGAACAGGATGCCATTCCCCTGCAGACTGATGATGAGCTGAAAGAAATGATAGGGATGAAGTGTCGTGCTGCCTTTGTACATGACTGGGGTGCCCTAAGCTACCACAATGCCATTATATCTGGTGTTGTACCTCGTACATCCACAGAACTGATACCGAAGGTACATGTTTAACCTAGGTTATCTCCCTTGATTCAATAAAGGTAGTTTCTGTGAAAATATATCATGTTTTAGTACAAGTATATTGTAATAGATGAAATATTGCTACAAGCCATATAAGACTTATGTAAAAATATTTGTCTTTGTATGAAATATATTTCTTCATAGGTATCAGTGATGTTCTGCAATCCGACACACAGATCCATGCTGCCTTGTAAATACCACTTGGAGGGAAACTGTAAATTTTCTAATGAGAGATGCAGGTAAAACCTATTAAAATCTCTTTATTTTCATTCTGTGACAGATATCAGATTTAAATCTTTTGTAACAGCATCAGTTAGTAATTGATAAAGTAATGGTGATGGTATTCGAATGTTGTTTTTACATAAAAAAAAACAGCAAGAAATTTTGAATGAATGCATTCACTTAGAGTTCAAAGTCACAGACTCTTGAGAAATGGTAGATAGTGAATTATGAATCATATAGCAGTAACATATTTAAGTCATCAGCTGATATTTTAATGCATTACAAATGAACCTTTCATTTAACAGATTTTCTCATGGTCATACTGTCGAGTTGGATGAATTAAAGGAATTCCTAGAGCCAGATTACAGGTACTGTGTACTGTATTGAGATTTAGAATCTTAAATGTATATCTCTTATACTAGTACACCTGATATTACTTTGGAGTATATCGGCTATGTTTATTGTTGTAGAATATGTTGAGGTATCTGGTATTAAAGTTGACACAAGATTACCTCAAAAGACAAATGCACACTCAATATTACCTCAAAAGACAAATGCACACTCAATTTTACCTCAAAAGACAAATGCACACTCAATATTACTTCAAAAGACAAATGCACACTCAATATTACTTCAAAAGACAAATGCACACACAATATTACTTCAAAAGACAAATGCACACTCTTACCTTCTAAGGGGGATGAAGTTCCTCTGATTTGTATGGAATTAGAAATGTGTCGGCAAGGAGTTTCCATTTCCTGGATCACCTTAGGTCATGGATGTTGTGATAGTTGTCATAGAAGTAGCTGACCAAATATACTTCCCTTTGGTGTGGGAGGAGACAGAGTTCAATGCTTTCAATGAAGTTATCCATATTATACAACAGTGTAATGGGGAAAACTGACACTAGATTGAGGAAGTGGGTATGTTTACAGATTGATCAGTCATGGAAAATTAACTGCATCAGTATTTTAATATTTATCGATGGACCGGGTAACTGATCCACATAATGAAAGAGGTAATGCCTCGGTGGTGCAGTTCTAAGTAACTTCATGCCAAGAGTAATGCACCAAATGCATATATAATCTGAAGTTTATTGTATCAGAGAATGAACAAACATATTGATTGAATTCAGATTAATTTTTTTTCTGAAAACTTACATAAGTTTGTGCATTGTCATTGTAGTACCTTGTCGTTAGGAGGTCCTTGCCTTGCTCAGTATGAAGATGACCTCTGGTACAAGGCCGTGATTGTTGATCTTCATGACGACCACCAATACAGTGTTACCATGGATACATATGAAGGAGTTCACAAGCTTGATATAAAACATATTATTCCATTAGGTAAAATACTGAAATGAAAATCATAAAACCCTATCAAATCACCATCATTTTCACTGCAGGTTCCTTACCAAATTAAGTAACAGTTGGTTTTTAAATGTTTGTACTTGAATATCATTATATAATTGTTGGTGTGTGTGATATACATATAATGAATCATAGCCTGTATTATATCATTTTCCAACTATTTGTAACCAGGCGTGTTGCCAAGAGATTGTTTTTGAAAAAAACCTGATTTATCTCAGTTTTGAGGGGTGTTTTCAAGAAGTTAGAGATAAAGATGGGAAATGATGATCATTGATCAGTTCAAATTAGAATGAAGCAAAACAATCAAGTAAATATTATTGAATTACTTCTGTTTTTATGATTTTGTCATTTTTATGTTGTTATATTAGAGCAAGCAGAGGAGATGATAGATGATGAGGACAATGATGCAGGTGATGATAAGTCAGCTGTACCCACACCGGAGTTATCAGATGATGATGATGATGAACTTAACCTACCTGTGTATCTCTGGAAACCACCAACCATGTCCCAGGCTCTAGGGACATGGGAGGCTCACACAAAGGTGAGCCTTGAGTTTGATCTAGGACAGAGGACACACACTGGGGGATGTGACAATAAGCACTTTACATCAGTGATCTGAGATTTAGAAGTATTTTCCTAAGAATTATTTAGAACCGCTGTAGTTAAAAGAGATCACTCTTGTCAATGTACCGCCAGATTTCTCGGGCAAGTGTCATAGTGTAGCTCACTGATTGAGCTAGATGGTTACACAAAATATAACGTTAATGTTTATTGTATAAACCAATGTATAGTGCATTATATAATAGGGCATTGTAAAAAGTATTATTTTCAAGGGGATTGGCTCCAAACTGATGGCCAAGATGGGGTATGTCCATGGTCAGGGCCTCGGGAAAAGAGAGGACGGTCGTGTGGAACCTGTTCCAATACAGCTCCTGCCCCCAGGTAATATAAAAGCGAATGCGTGTTTCCCATTCCCAGTTCAGCACTCAATGCCAGACAGTCATTTGACTCAATTTTTAGCATGATGATATATAGGAGGTTGAGTAAAACTTTTCTACTGAAAAAGTTTCGAGAAAATGGTCAAAGTTGTTACCTATCTGTTTTATTTGTTAGTATGTTTTTATCACTGAGGTTGCATTGTCTATTTTAGGAAAATCATTAGATACTATTATGCAGCTGAAAGAAATAGCTGGAGAACATGACTTATTTGATGTTATGAAGAAAAGAGAAAAGAAACAGAAAGCTCAGGAGAAAAAGCAAGCTCAAGCTTATGAAGAAATGAAAACAAAAGACCAGAATGTGTTTGACTTCATGAACAGAAAACTGGGAGGGAAGAAAGGTATTGCATTCTTTTTCCATTTTTATTTAAATGTCTTATTTTCCTTTAACTGAAAGGGAAGGCTGTTTGTGATTTATCTGCTTATTGCAATATTCATTATTAGTTGACATCGTAAGATCACTTATCATTGGCAGAGTTTATGCGATCTGCAGCACCTATAAAGTCCAGCGATCCTACTAAGTCTCCAAACCATGATAAATGTGAAATGGTAGAGTTTCTACCACAATAGCTGGGTTCAATTCAACTCCCAAGTCAACAATTCAATATTATCACTTGTGTAAACAGAACAAATAAACCACACTTGGATTAAACTCTAAACACGTTTTGATTATCTAACACAGTGAACTTTAACCTCTTTGGACTGGGCACGTAGAATAATTTGACAGAAAGGGTGCTTCACATAGTTGCAGATATGAAACATGCAAAAAGTAATTCACATTTTTTTGTATAAGTTTAATTTTGACTGGCCTACCACAAAATTTCATGGTAGGAAGTTTAAGGTGTTGCTTTTTAAGCACAGACATTTTACATTAAGATCCATGGTCAGAAAAGTGCAAGTCCAGCTGTAACTGGTATATAACTAGATCTGTCATCACCTTGACACATCTTTCATATATGAAATGAAGCTGTTTAGCTGGACTTTAAAGTTTTATGTTTTGTGGGAAGGCATGGAAGGTTCCAAATTTGGCATGAAACTTTCACATAATTGGAAACCTCCATTTGTTTATTACATTGCATGCACATAATGAAATACGATTATTTGAATTTAATTTTGTTTGAGTTTTTGTGAAATTTTATTTTAAATGATGTGAAAATCACATAGGTGAGGCCATGAATCAAGCAGTATATAAGTATACATCTAATTAGTCAAAATGCACTGTGTTTTATTCAAATCACCCTTCATACATGGTTTGTTGTCTATCCGTCTGTCGTCCATCACTCCGTAAACAATTTTTGTTATCGCTATTTCTTGAGAATTACAGCATAGATATTTCTCAAGTTTCATTCATATGTTTCCATTGATCCCTAGTTGTGCCTATTTGATTTTGGTACTGATCAGAAAAAACAAAATGGCCCACAAGTGGCCTCTTTGATCTTAAATTTGAAAGTTTGTTATCACTATTTCTTGAGAACTACTGTATAGATCTCTCTCAAATTTCATGTATAGGGTTCCTTATGTGCCTATTTGAGTGACTGATCAGAAAACAAAATGTCCGACTGGCAGCGTTCTTGGATTTGGCCTAGAAAATATTGTTATCCCTATTACTGAATGGATATCTCTCAAATTTCATACATATGGTCTCTCCTTGTGCCCATTTGATTTTGTGACTGATCAGAGGAAAAACTGGCTTCCATGCAGCCATTTTGGATTTGACAAGTAAAGATTATCTTCACTCTTTCTGGAAAGGAATGTTCAAATGTCTTATCTATAAGAGCAAAAACAGAGATGAGAAGAGAAAAGAAAGGAAAGGATCCAACTTTCAAAAAGCAAATAAAGATAAAACAATGGCGGACGGCAAGATCTGTCTGGGATCTCTTGTTTATATCAAGACTTCATGTTGACAACAACACATATATTTACTGATTATATTACCGAGGTTTTGATGAATAAGTAAATTACCTCTAATCTGTAAGTAACAAAATGAGATCAAGTCCTTAACAGCCTGATGAAAATTTCATATGTTTTATCTTACTGAAATAACTTAATATTTCTCCTGTTTGTATACTATTGGCATACACTGTATAACAAGCCTTTTCGGCAATACACTGTACCTTATGTTAATTGTGTGAGAGTTCCATTCTATACTTTTATTTCCTGCTCGTCTGTGTTGGGAAATTTGAAATTAGATACTTTGTTTTTGACACCACATGGCACAGTTATTTTGAAGCAAACTAAACTGGTAGTACAGATTTACTTTTCACAAAACAACAAATAACTCATTTCAATGTAACAGATTCAGTTTCTTTTATTTAAATATTTAATGTTTAACAGTGAACAGAGGAAAACAACAGATACAGCTTATTTTATTTAAATATTTTTATGTTTAACAGTGAACAGAGGAAAATAAAATAGTTTTTTCATTCTAGATATCCAATTAAGTGTATATTGTTTGCATTCTTCAGACCTAATTCGTAACACATCTAATGATTTGTATATGATTATTTTTTCTGGTTGGTCCTCTCTAAGCTATTTTCAACATTTTCAAGTACTGTGATTTCACCTCTATAGAATTTATAGTTTGCATTATGTACCGTATGACATACAACCTAGTTTATCTTTAAACATATCTTTTGACTGTATAATGAAGGATAAGATGAATTCAGGATCTGACATAAACACTTCATGACTCTTGATCTCTTAACACTAACTAGATTAGATATTCAGAGATATCCAAATACAACAATACCGCTTGTCTGTGTCTTTTAATTTGTAGCATCATACAAGGCATGATAATTATGTTTAGAGTCAGTTTGAAACATCTTTTAAATAAGTTGCTAGGTGTAAGTGTTCTGTTTGTTACTCAAATCATGATATGCACATAAGAAACCAATATTTTTTTAAAAAAAAAAGAGAACTATAGAATTAAATCGGTTTAAGATTATATTCAAGTGCAGTGAAATATTATCTGTGATTAAATTAAGATAAAACTTCCGTCATTTTAATTAAGAACATAATTTGGTTATCTTGGTTGTGACTTGGGTACATGTTCCAACTTATTTGTAAAGATATTGATAAATAATGCTTTAAATTTTAGATAATTTATCTTATATGAGGCACTTTACAGTCAGCATTTTAGTCAAAATACAAGATTCCTATGTGCCATTTAAAATATTATTTTTAGATATTTTAAGAATATAGTTATATGGATGGAAATATACTATACTGCTTGAACGACACAGTGTTATAATAACCCTTCTCTATCTTTTATATAAGAATATAACCCAGCAAGCTAAATGTTGCCGATACATCGACACACCTATATGCAGTTTGTTAATCACCATCAAGGCTTGAAACACTGCCACGGGATTCAGACCTCCACTTGGAAGACTTTTTGCGAACAGAAAATTTCATATGGTCAAAACGCTCTCTTGGGGATGAAGGCAGACTTCCCGCCCGAACATCCTGTGATGAAAATTGTGATAAAGGATTTGACTCAGTCTGTGCTTCCAGAAGCTGTTTTTTGCACATGGCAAGAATTTTTCGGGTATGTTGCATGTCGTCACCGAGTTGACCACGTCTCATACTTTCATTCAAAACAGCAGTGTCTCTATTACTGTCAGAATATCGATTTGCATCAATTTCACTTGTGTGTAGAAAGTCTCTTTCCCAATCAATGTTGCCTTCAGTATTTCGTCTGTGGTTTGATGGAAAATCTAGTGTGTAGTTGAATGTTCTATCATCAGGTTGTCTCGTTGGGGTACAAGGAGGTGAAAACACGGGTTGATCTGATGCTTGATATCCTCCAGAATTCCTTCTGTTGGATTGAGTGAAAGGGCTTCTTGGATGCAAGAATTGCTTTGAAAATACTGCACCTGACAAAGGACCTTCCTCGGCGTTTGGAGATTCTATAGACTGACGTCTGCTTCTTGAATGAGAAGGACTCATTTGCTTGGAAAAACTTCGTCTTGCCGAGGAACTCCTGCTTCGTTTAGTCGGAAGTCGTTCTGCTTTGAGTTTTTCTATTGACGGTGATCTGCATGTTAACGTAGAGCCAACCGATTTCATCTTTATGAACGGATTTGTTGTTTGGGAGTCTGTCTGTGATAACATTCTACCAGATATTGGCTCAGAAATGCTTCTGTTACTTATCTGTTGATCAGTATCAGAAGTAGATGTCGAAATGTTGGTGGCTGGACAAAACTCCCAAAAACTTTCCGACTTTTTCATAACATTTAGGCAACCAAATATATTTTCAACAATCACATCCTCATCTGTTGGTATACTAAATTTCATATAAGGCTTCTCAAATGACAGTTTCTGTCCGTTCAGTTTTTGTTTCCTATTGACTATCATTTCTTCAAATACCGGTAGTTCGTCGCTGAGACCATGATCAAGAAGCATTCTTGCTAAATCTGTCATAGCGAGTATGCCTTTCAATCTGTTATGCATGTATGATTTATACTTCTCGATCACTTCCACCATATTGATATCATGCCAATGAGCTTCAACCTGAAGCAGGAGTTGTCGTTCCCAACCTTTTATCAAGTCTTGTAGTTGAGCTGACCTTTGTTGAATTCGGTTTTGGAGGTTCTGTTTCTGTTGGTTCCATCGGTCCTTTTCTTTATTCAAATTATCGATGGAGTAAACGATAGCGAGTGCCTCAGTTTGAAAGCTTGCCAATTCGTCTTTGATACGGTCACGTTGTTTTTGTTCTTCTATAATAGGGTCGTGGTTTGCCGACGAGAGAACTTGTGTATCATCCTGTGTATAATGATCTGTTATATCTGCGTAATCCTGCGGAGGTTCAAACTTCAGACTTCCTATTGAAAAGTTACTGAACTCGGAGCAACTTTTTACCATCTTCTGATGTTCCTGCTGGAACAAAGAAACGTCTGTTTCTGTAGAAGGAGATGTAAGATTTGATTGATTTGGCGTTTGTTTCTTGTCGTATAAGGTCGAAATCGAGTTCTGTTTCGTTAGTTTACACTGTAGTGTAGCATTTTCTTTTTGTTCTGTGGAATTATCATTGAACACTTCGTCAATTTCATTAGCGTTTCTGCACTGAGAGCTATCAGCATCTTCGGAAGAGTTTTCTTTAGGAAGAACCCTTCCTGTGTCAATGCTACCTGTACTGCCCCTGTTTGAAGGGAAATCCTTGCAATCTGTTCCAGATGCCTCTGACGTTTCACTAAATGTCAGCGAGTTAGAATTCTTAATTGAACGGTTTCTTTGTTGTGTAGGCGATTTTATTGTGATCTGATTGACATTGGACAAAATTGCTCTCTGTAGCACCACATTATTTGGTAAACTGGCAACGCCTTGCACAGGCAGTTCGAAAGGTTCAGAGCATGAAGGACACGATGTAGCTCTGCCCTCCGAGACATTGCTATCACAGTGGTTGGACAGGCACAAACAGCAGAAACTATGAAGGCACGGAAGAAGCTTGGGACTTTTGTAAACGCTGAAGCACAGTTTGCAGCATATGATTTGGGACAGCGGAGGTGTGGTGCAGCTAGGGTCAGATGCTGGCGGGGGCTCCATGTGGTTGATGAGAGATGAGCTCTTAGTTAAACGGACTACAACGAAAAATAGAAAGAATTCATTATCAGGTGTAGAAATGATATCACTAAAACATGCGAGAGTGAGAGAAAATATTATATATTTTTTTACGAATATGTTTCTGATATCTGGTGTTTAGGTATGCTAGTGTAAAGATATTTAGAAATCATTTCATTAAATGCTTTAGAAAGTGTAAATAGCCATAAATTCGGAAAATGTTACAAATCCTCTGTGTAGGCAGTTTATTGGAATTATCTATCGATAAATGTCCACATTTATTACTTCAGTAATAGTGTCAGATTATATCGCGTGAGAGCCGAAATTGCGTAATCAGTAAATGCTTATGCGGGTGAAAGTTGATAACTTCGCGAAAGAGCCGAAATCACGCCATCAGTAAATGTGTGTTCAGATAAACGTTTACAACACCGTGAGAGAGCCGAAATCACGTCATCGAGAAATTAATGACATCGCGAGAGAGAAAGAGAGATTTCGTTACCAGGAAACGTGCATATACGTGGATGTTAATAACACCTCGAGAAAGGCGATTTTGCGACACCAGTAAACGTGCCTATATGTGAACGTTGATCACATCGGAGGAGAGCCGAAATTACGTCATTAGTAAATGCGTGTATAAACATAAACATATCAGTAAAGGCGAGTATGGATCAAATTGAATGCATCGCTGGAGAGCTTAAATCACGTCATCAAAAATGTATGTACAGATAAACGTTGACAACACCGTGAGAGCCGAAATCACTTCATCAGTAAACGTTTTATAGATGTATAGATGAATGTTAATCACATTATGAGATGGCCGAGATAAGGGTAGTCGGTGGTGATATCTTGTTTCGTAATTGTTGTAAGATAGCGGAGTGTTTATGTCTATTGTCGCTGGTTCGTCATGCCTCTAAAATGGCTGTAAACTGTTAAATTTGTAATGGGATATCACATTAGTTATTTTAATGTGATGTTTCCCTGCATATAAATTGCGTAAACATGTGTTGAAGTCATAGCCTCTAAACCTATCAGACTGATACTGAATTCACAATGAAATATAAAAACTTAATGTAGTTGCAAGACGTTTATTTGCATTTGAAAGAGATAATTGCAAATAAAGCATATATGCTTAAAAACTCTACATATACTGTCTATCTTGTCAAAATATCGTGAGATTTTGTCAAGTTTAACGGGGCTCACAGCCATTGCTTGTGAATACTAATTATGTTAACCACTATCTCCTGAAAAATCATATAGAATTCGCGGTAAATATTCCCCGTAAATCATATACATCTTAAACATCATTGACTTCAACTTTCTAAGAAGTCGTAAACACATTACATAATATGTAACAAATATACCACACTACGCAGTTACCATCAGACTTGGGTTATGGTCATTTTCTTAAGCTGTGTCGTCTGTCGATTCCCATATGTGATAACTGTATGGTCTGCATCTGAACCTCTGGTGATTTGTTATTGATATGTTTGTATATCTGAAGTCTTGTTGTATTTGTAGATTTGTATAGTTTTGTCATTTTTTTAAGTTTAAGAGTTACATCTGATGTTTTAAATTTCTGTATCTTAATACAATGTACTTAACATCTGATCACGAAATTTAGTTTGCAGACTTCTGTCCCAGAAAATTGCTGTTTTATATACATAATTTTGTATATTGACTATGTTAATTTGCAGCTGTAACCTGCATGCCACTTTATTCGAATAGTGTCAATGTTTTAATACAAGAAAAATTACCAAATTTATTTGATTATGGGGCTGGTCCACCATCCATCTGTGTTTTAATTTTCTTTCGGTCACTTTGGATTTTCCTTACTCGCTCCTGGCTTTAAAAACAGGCCCTTGGCATCATTGACGAGTCCCAGAAGTTTGTTTTAGTGAATTGGTTGGTATTTGAAGCACTTTGAGTGACTACCCATGAAATAGGATTTAAATATTCATAGGAGTATGACAGGGTTTAGTTATTCAGCTTAGGCAATTTTTCAAAGAACTGAAGCAAGTTCTTCCAGTTTGAGTTCACCAAAAGTCTCTAGATTATTTTGCTGTTTATATCAAAATATTTGTTAAAATTTCAGGAAAATCGGAACCGGTAATAGGTGTCATTTAAAAGCCAAAAGATTAGTATTTCAATTTAAGTTAATTTTATTAGGTTCGACAGGGGTCGGTATTTTCTCAGTTTGTTAAAACAATTGTGTACATAGTCATATTATGTCAGTTTTTAATAAGTAGATTCTGCTGCAAGTTTCAATGTCAAAAATAAATATCTATATTGTTAATAAATGAAAATTAACTATCTCGTACTTGAAAAAAGGACATTTTTCAAGTTTCTCAAATAAAAGTTTTCTTGAAAGAAAAAAAATCCGTTTTCAGTGCATCAAATACTTTTATCAAATTATTTGGCTCATTATCTGAAGTGTATACAATGAAAATCTCAGAAAATTGAGAACAGGTAAAATTGCCATTTAAAAGCTCGGACAAAATTACTTTTGCATTGAAAAACAGTACAATTATCTAATAAACAGTATTCATATAATAATTGCGCCCATGTTCCTGAACACTTCCCATATTTCACGTGAAGAACCCATTGCACACAAGACAGCCTTCACAAAAATATTTTATGGGGAAAAGTCAGCATCATTTTTGATGGTACATATATTTATATCAACAAGAGTAATGACCATCAATTCCAGAGGGCTTCCTATGGCAGACAGTAAGAAGAGCAGCAACTTGAAATTCATGTCCATTGCGTGGCCTGATGTATAAGTTTTGGATACTATTGGCCCTTACTATTGAAGCACCAATGATGCAACAATCACGAAGCGCATTATTGATCATTTTGGGGGCTGGTTGCAAGACAGCGACAATGTCACGTCAGTCAAAAATTCTTAGAACTTTATATTGTACATTTTATGAAATAAAATGAGATGAGATATTCATGTAGATTCTGTAAACTTTAGGACGAGTTCTTTCCTGCAGGAGGAGTATGTATGACGCAACACTGTCGGGGAAATTTTCTCTGTAGCTAGATATGTTGAGCGTCGGATTAGTAAGTCAGAGGTTCCAGGTTCGATTCCTATTAAGGCATTGAAATGAATCCGTTACAATGAATCCATTATAAAATTTATAGAAGGAAGAAGAATGATAAATTTTATTCTTTTGTCCAAATTGCAGTAAAAATGTATATAGTGATCATGTATATCTTGATGAACATTCATGTGAATTTTGCCTAATTGCGAATTGCTTCTCTGGGATAAAAATGAAGCTTGTCCTTAAAGTATTTTTTCTTGTTGAAACTGACATGGTGTCAAACTCATTTTTATTGACGTGTTTAAAAATCTTGAAGGAAAATATATAGCACCATTAAATTAGAAATTTATACGTTTTCTTTTTGCTGATTCTCACCATGGTCGTTATGTTAATGAACGATTTAAGCAAAAGATAGTCCCGCAATTAAGGTTCACAGCGCTTGCTCCTTGTTTCTTACACTGTAACACCTGGTCTTATGTGCGGCGATGTTATACAATGTTACGGAAGAGTTATGGTAACAGAAGATGAAAATACCACTATATGATGTCTGTCTGTTCTTCGTCATATGTATCTTAGAACGGGAATTTTTTAGTTGCCCTCCCAGAGGTCAGTCTGGAAGGGATTTCGGTTGAAATGATTATCTCCATTGATATTGTTGCACTGAGTTTGACAGCAATAACAGAAACGGAAAGGAAATCATTTCGTCCACCAGTCAACACTAATCTCATGATACGAGCTGTTGTTTGGCTTGCGAATTGTCTGGTGGCAGCACTGTCTGACATAGGAAAGTCTTCTTCGTCTGGAATGTATATAGTCTAGAAAGACTTGTTAGTCTGCTATCCTGCTCCTGGGGATATTCTCATTAGCCAAATATCTCTGCGGTCGTCATACTGAGTTACCTGACGTAACTCCTCCGTTTCATTGTCCGAACATCACTGCGGTCGTAATACCGAGTACCCCAATGTAAACTCCTTCGTCTCATCCGGACATCCCTGTAGTCTTATGACTTAGTTCTCCGAAGTTGTTTCTGCATCTCGGTATCCGAACATCACTGCTTACGTAATACGGAGTACCCCGATATAAATCCTATACGTCTCATTGACGAAATGTTATTCTGATGTCCATATTAAAGCTAAAATCTCGACGACATTCCCCCTCCCACAACGCCATGAAACGGATAATGCTATTATATATACATCCCTGATGCACAATACAGACACATTTACCTAGCGCTCTGCCAGAGAAATTTCCGCTTGACTTGCGTATTTACTGCAGAAAAGATGTCTGATTAGTCGTCCCTGCTGAAGAGAAAGCATCGTTTGTTTTACGTCCCAAGAGTGAAATGTCATTTGTTACGCAGGTCATTCCAATTAGAATCGATCTCGCCTCTTACCAAATCGAAACAAATTTTATAACCAACAACTTATATTGTTATGTCTAGGTTAATAACGTATGCTTCACATTAGAACAGAGATTAAATTGAACTCGCTAGCCACATTCATTGGATGAATTCCCTCTGGCTGTGTATACCACTGATTGCCTTGCAAATCGGTACGACTTGTGGATCACTTGTCGTTTATCTAACCAATGCCAAGTTATTGAATATTGTAATGGAGTATTAATGTACGGCCAGTCTGTGTGTTTGTATGTCACTTTTTTTACTTCATATTAACTGACATCACAGTTTATTGTCATTAGTATGTTGACATGTTTGTATAAATTCTTGCAATGCTACATGAAAATCGTTTTCTGCTTTGATATTGGTTGAAATGGTTTGATTGCATTGTTGTTAAATTGTACGAGACATATTTAGGTAAATAACCATTTAAAGACTTGACAGTGATTCACATTAGACAGAATTGTTCTTGTATTCTATTGTATTATATTCCTAACTAACATTTAGGTTCAGCGTTGATTTGAACTTATGCCACGTTCCAAAAG